CCGTCCAACGTGAGGCCGAGTCCCACGTACAGCAACTAGAAGGATGTGAACCTATGACATACAACTATCTACTGGGGCTTTGGGGGGAAAAAACTGAATAAATAAAATCTTTAAAAAATAATTTGATAATTATACCCCCCTGGTCTAGCCTTCGCTGAGCACACCATTCTCTTTACCCGTTACTGAACTTTTGAAACCACTTCCGATACCTGAGTTGCATGAGGATTTTTTCATTTTTGTGTCCTTTAGGCACTCAAAGATTATTTATTGAATAAATAAGTGAAGCAGTTTTGACTTAAAAATAAATTCTAAGCATAGTCAGCTTGCTAATTTTTCTCACCTTGTCATTTGCAGGTTTTGAATTAAAATATAAAAGTACACTGAGTGGGCACTGTGCTCCTGTTCTGGCTTGTGCCTTTTCTCATAATGGGCAGATGCTAGTCTCGGGGTAAGCTATTTAGTTTAATTCCCTTAAACCATTTTGATAAAATAGAACAGACATATAAAAAAGTACATAAGAGAATAGCTTGATAAATTACCTTGATGCAAACTTGTGTAACCACTATTCAGGTCAAGAAATAGAATATTACTTGGTTCTGCTCCAAAAGTCCTCCCCTTCTAACTGCCTCTTTCTGGGGACAGTACCTTAGATCATATGCAATATTGCTTTTTTCTTTTAAACTGATTTAAAACAAATCATACAATATGAATTATTTCATGTCTGGCTTCCTTTACTTAACATGATATTTGTGACATTCATTCATATTACTGCATATAGGTGTGGTTTATTGATTTTTCATTGCTGTGTAATATTGCATGCATATACTATATTTATCCATTTTAATGTTGATGAACATATGGATTGTTTCCAGTTTGGGAGCATTATATTATTCTGTGAATATATCTGTATCTCTTGGTGCACATGTTCATGCATTTCTGTAGAATATATACATAGGAATGGAATTGATGGGTTACAGAATAGTTCTATTTTCAACTTTGACAGGTAACACCAAATTGTTTTCCAAGTGGTCAAACACCACTATTAGCAGTGTTTTTTCACATAGTAACCTATACTTGGTATTGTGGATCTTTTCAATTTTAGCCATTCTGATGGGTGTAAAGTGTTATCTTACTATGGTTTTAATTTGCGTTTCCCTGAAACAATGAGGTTAGAACCTTTTCAAAAGTTTATTGGCCATATGTATTTCTTCTTTTATGAAGTGCCTGTTCATGTCTCTTGCCCATTTTCTTTTGGATTATCTTTTTCTTATTGATTTGTTGTTGATTATCTATCTATCTTTCTATCTAGTTATATATCTATATTCTTCTCTCTATATTTGTATATGTGAGCCATTTATTGGTTATATGTGTTACAAATATCTTCCCCCTCCCTGCAGATTTGTCTTTTCACAGTTTGTAATTTTAGTGAAGTCAGTTTCTTTATGTTCTGAGGTCATGAAGATATTTTCCTGTTTTATCTTCTAAAACCTTCATTGTTTTTCCTGTCTCAAATTTGATTTGTGTGTGTGATATGCAATGGGAATCCATTTTCATATGGATGTCTAGTTGTCCCAGCACTATGTATTGAAAAGACCCTCTTTTCTCTAGCATTTTGCTGTGCTACCTTGTCAGAAATCACTGATCATGAATGTATGGGTCTGTGTCTCAGCCTGCTATTCCGTTCTGTTTTTCTATTTATCTATCCTTGCTCTAAAACCATTCTATCTTTCCAAGGCTTTATATTTTGGCAATTCCTGGCTTTTGACACTTCCATATAAATTTTAGAATTAGCTTGTCAGATTGCTTCCAGTTCCCCCCTCTACACACACAAACCTGTTTGGATTTTGACTGGGGTTGTATTGAGTCTGATAAATTTGGGGAGAATTGACATCTTCATAATATCGAGTCTTCTAATCCATGAATGTGGCATATTTCTCCATGTATTTTTCTTTTGATTTCTCTGAATAATTGCTATGTAGAAGTCCTCCTCGTCTTTTATTGGATTTATTGTAAGGTACTTAATTTTTTTGTTTCTATTATAAAAGATATGGCTAACAGAAATATATATAGGAAGAATGGATTTTACTATAAAGGTTTTAATTTTGGATTTTCTATGTACAAAATCATATCATATGTTAATAATGATGGTTTTGTCTCTTCCTTTCTTTTTTTAAAAATAATAGCTTTACTGAGATTAATTCACGTGCTGTACAGTTCACTCTTTTATTATTATTTTTTTTTTTTTAATTTTTATTTTTTTTGTATGAGGAAGATCAGCCCTGAGCTAACATCCAATGTGGATCCTCCTGTTTGTTTGCTGAGGAAGATGGGCACTGAGCTAACACCTGTGCCCATCTTCCTCTACTTTATGTGGGATGCCGCCACAGCATGGCTTGACAAGCTGTGCATCGATGTGCGCCCGGGATCCGAACCCATGAACCCCGGGCCAACGAAGCGGAGCCACTGGCCCCCTTGTCTCTTCCTTTCTAATCCTTGTACTTTTGATATCTTCTATGCCTCACTGAAGTGGCTGATATTACCAGGATAATGGAAATAGTGATAACAGCCAACTGTCTGATTCCTCATAGCAAAGGGAAAGCTTGCATTATTAAGTATGATCACTGTAGGTTTTTGGGAGATAAGCTTTATCAGCTCTTCTGTTCCTTCTAGTTGGTAAGAATTTTTTTTTTATCGTGAATAGGTGTTATATTTTATCAAATGATTTTTCCAGCATCTTTTGAAATGATCATATGATTTTTCTCTTTTATTCTATTAATGAAGTAAATTATACTGTTTTTTCAAATATTAAACTAACCTTGCTTTGTTGGAATAAACACAACATAAGACATGTTATTTTTATGTATTGCTGTAGAGAAGTCTGTTTTATTCTGTTGCTCCTTTTGATGTAATTCTTTTTTTTGCTGGCTGCTCACAAAATTTTCTCTGTAGTTTTCTGCACATTTACTTTGGTGTATGTGGATTTGGGTTTCTTTTTATTTAGTTTGCTTGGAATTCACTGAGCCTCTTAAATATGTAGAATGATATGTCATCAGTTTAGGGGAAATTCTTATTCATTATCTCTTGAGATGCTGCTTCTGTCCTTTTCTTTCTCTTCTCTTAATCTGGGACTGCAATTAAATGCAGATTATACCTTCTCACTGTGAACTTTGTGTCTCGTATCCTCTCTTCTGTATTTTTCATTCTTCTATTTCCTTTGCTTCATTCTGAATGGTTTCCCTTTTGATGGTCTTCTCCTCAGCTTTATCTGATGTGCTATTAAACTGGTCCATTGATGAGTCCTTAATTTTCATTATTTTTCAGTTCTAGAATTTTTTTTTTTGGCTTTTTTTTTCAGGTCCACTGTGTCACTTTTTGTGATTTCTAGTTCTCTGTTGAAAATTTTAAATCTTGGCTTTTATTTTTCAAAGCTTTATTCTGTAAAGCAATTGGTTTGGGACACAGTAGCATGATTCAATTACGTTATATTCTCCTTTTAAATACTTTGGTATGTTTTCTCCTTCCTGCCATTCGATTTTCTAAAACTTTCCTGTCTGATATCACAGCATTCAAACTCACATTCATGGCTTTTCGGAGCAGCTTTGACTCCAGCCAAAATATTTAGGCTCCTAACTTCCACTTAAAATGTTGTAGGCTAAGCCTGATAGTTCTTTTCCCCATATGCTCCAATCCTTGCCAGATAATCAGCCCTGTTGCCATTGTATTAGATATAACCCTTTAATCTCAAAAGATGAAAATAGTTCATCATCGAAAAGCATTTATAGTAATTCTTTTTTGACCTACAATTGAAATCAGTGGGAAGTTTAAACAAAGTTGGCTTTCCTTCTGCCATTTTCGGGGACATATTGTGCATTCCAATCTTAAGAAGAGAGGTTAATTGACAAAATGATTATATGAAATTCAGCAAGTATTTATGGCTTTCTTCTGTGCCCACCTCTCTGCCAGTGGCAATAGGGCGTATAAAAGGAAGTATAAGACAATGTTTGTGCCCTTGAAGATGTTTTAATTCTCTATCCTGATAGTTGATGTTCATGGTGATAACCTAATAACACTGAAAGATCCTGACACATGCCCTTACCCTCTGAATCGTGGAAGAGGTGTTAAGTGATACTCAATATAGTTTTCGTGTTAAGTTCATTTTATAGCGTTATAATGTCTTGTCAGCTTGTAAATATGTGAATCTTAATTAGCTAACATATTATATTAACTGGAATGTACCTTTTTCAGTCACTCTGGATAAATGGAGTTTTACGTTATTCTTTTTGGTATACAATGTTGCTCTAGGTCACATTTAGATATTTTTCTGAGTATTTTTAGTTTATTTGGATAAACATACAGGCAAATGAATGAGTTGGAAGTAAGTTGGTGAAGTATAAACATTTAGTTTTTTAGGAGAATTGAGAGACATGTTTAAACCATACTTGAGTGGATAAATAACAAGTTAAATGGTCAGTGATAGAGACTTCCATTTGTGACTAAAAGTCATTGGTAAGGTGGAATGGATACATATGCAAAAAAGGGAGACAATGGGAAAAAAGTGAGTAGAATAAAAGATATATGAATATAAGCGGCTAGATAAGAAAAATGAATTGACAACAGAATGAGATTGTAGGTGAGAGAGTGTACTAACAAAGTTGTATAGGGCATAGATATGGGGTGACCATGTAAAAGACAGTATAGAATTTATAGATGCAGATAGGGGAGGATTGGGCAACAGAAAGGCCATTCCAAGAGGCAGGAAGTTCTTGATTAGATTAAAATGTATGGTAAATATAAAGAGGAGTAAGGGGAATTGAGGCTGTAAAAATAGGTTGTAGAGATGATGGATTTAGGAGAACTACTGAAACTTTTAAAGCAATTCTAATATACATTGCCTAGCTATACAAGATGAGTGCTGATGGGGAAGTAAAGAAATTGAATCATGATTTAGGTCAGTGGTTCTCATACTTTTTGGTCTTAGGATTCTTTGACACTCTTAAAAGTTATTGAGGATCCCAAAGAGCTTTTCCTTCTATGGTTATATGTATTGCTATTTATGGAAAAGAAAAGGGAGAAAATCCTAAAACATTTTTAATTCATTTAAAAACAATAATAAACTCCCTGCATATTAACATTTTTTCTTAGAAAAAATAAAAAATAATAGTGAGAAGAGTGGCATTGTTTTACATTTTTGAAAGTCTCTTCAGTATCTGGGTTAGCAGAAGATACATAGATTCTCATAAGTGCTTCACACATTCCATTAGCTTTCAGAGCTATGATGGCATCACACATCATGGAGCAAAATACATAGGAACTTTTTCCTTCTATCTTTCTCCACAGCTCTCCTCTAATAACTTTCTTCTAGCCCCTTAGCAGAATTTGTCTTTTGTTCCACCCCACTTCTCTTGATACAACAATGTAAAATGAACATTGTGTGTATCAGCTTCTATG